CAATAGCTCCGCACCAATTGGTTACAAATAAATTTCAATAAAATGCTCTATCAATATACAAATAAGGAGATGTACGATTGCCAATGAGACAACTACCCTACAAGTTTACATATATTTTAAGAGGTTTATTCAATGAGTTTTAACATCAATATTTTACTTAATATGATTTTAGTTCATGTAATTGATATTCAAATTTCAGTTCTTATTATTTTATTATGTACAAAATGTATTTTAACTTTAATTTCTTTTTATTTACTCTCAATTTCATTTTAGGCATTAACATTAATGCCTGGACATAATTTTCAGGATTTAAGAGTAATGCCTAACATTATTTAGGCAATCAACTTACTGCCTAGGCGTTAGCTTATTGCCTAGGATTTAAGCTTAATGCCTAATTTCACTTACTGCCACTAACATAAGTTAGCTGAAGCCCCGCCTATCTATTGATTGCAGATGTCAATCTTAATTACATTGTTTGAGCAAACATTTTTACAAACAAAGCAAGCAAGCCAACCAAACTTTTAAACTACAAGCATTAGGAAATAGCTCTAATTGAATGCTAATTTGTCTTTTGATTTCATACTTAAAGGAACCTACCGGAAGAATAGAGCTTTGCATAACATTTTTGAGCCTGTGCTGTTTTGTACAAATAGGGACACAATTGATTATGAATGAAATTGAATTATCAAAAGAAAAACCCCCATTTTCTGTTAATGTCTCCAAGTAGTTATTACCTAGTAAAAATATGTAAATACAGAATGGGAAGATTCAATAGACTGCAACTTAACAACAAAAACAAAAAGTTACATAAAACCATATGGAGCTTTGAATATTGTCTTCAGTAATTCAGAGAGAGAAACATAACAACAAACTAAAACAAGAGAGACATTGAAAGGTCAATATGTGGTTTCAACAATAGGCAAGTGTTATATGATATACTAGGTTAGAGATCTAGATAAGATAAACTAGGTTAGATACTAGGCTAGAGATCTAGATAAGATATACTAGGTTAGAGATCTAGATAAGATATACTAGGTTAGAGATCTAGATAAGATATACTAGGTTAGAGATCTAGATAAGATATACTAGGTTAGATACTAGGCTAGAGATCTAGAGAAGATATACTAGGTTAGAGATCTAGATAAGATATACTAGGCTAGAGATCTAGATAAGATATACTAGGTTAGAGATCTAGATAATTCATATTTGGTATACCTTTGACTTTTTTGACTGCTGTTTCTTTCTGGCCATGACCTCATTGTCATGGTTCAGTGACCGCTAAGCACGCGGCATGTAGGAGTAATTGCAAAGAATGGTCGGCTCGGAGTCAGAATAATGTGTAGGGTAGAGTGACATGTCTTCCTGTGGACTGTTACCTTGTGAAATTCGGGTCAGTGTGTCGGTGTAGTACAATAATAATAATAATAATAATAATAATAATAATAATAATGTATTCAAAAGCAATACAGCTTATATAATATTAAGCAGGGTTCATATGCATATCACATTATCATGTTCTCGTCCTGAGTAGGATTTTAATTTGCCTCTGTACATTAAACGGCGAGCCAACCAACTTTAATGTGTATATAAGGAGATGAGGGGGAGGGGATTTCTAAATTGATAAGACAGCAATTCAAAAAAAATAATAAACGACATGCAGAGTAAATTCACAGTTATATTCTTCGAGCAGGAACGCTGAATGGGTTTGAAACTGAACCCCTCTTATAATTTTGAAAAATAAAAGGTATAGAGAAGAAAATACAATAAAAATCGTTTAGACAAAGTACATAATGTCAGTATTCATGCCAACAAAAACACGTTACAAGTCAAATAGTACTTAATGCTACTGTATCCAATGATGCCCAAGGTTCTAAAACTGGTGATATATCATGTCTTCTTAGACTCTAAAATTAGCTACTGTTCTCTACAGTAGATTTTGTACAGGAACATGACGAAGAGTGCAGGACAACTCACATTATGTTTGGTGTTGGTGCTTGGTTTATTTATTATTAATTAATCTAACGGAATTTTCAAAAAGAAATTTGTGTTAAGAATTCCCATAAATAATGATATAAATAATAATGAAGTTTTTGGAGTTATCCAATATATGATTTTCAAAAAGGGAAGTTTTGCAGTTTCTTGATGAGATGAAAACAGTTCCAAAATCAATGAATAAAGACAGCCCAATGCTAAAGGCCAAGGTCATAAAGCCAGGCAGGTAAATTCTGAATAGGTCCATAAAAATTAAATATGTGCTTAGGACTTTTGATGTCTAAAGAAATAGATCAAAAGTTCAGCTAGACTAAATGTTAATTTTGAAAATACTTTATCATATTTTGAAAGAAAATTTCAATGTTTATATTTTTGAAACCGGGCGTTTATAACAAGGCAGTGACTTTTTTTTGCCGGCTCTGACAAAAAAGCCTCCTTAGCAACCGGCAAAATAGCGATATATATATATAGAGTTTTGCTATTTTGCCGGTCTTGATTCAGATTATCGGTATATTAATAAAAAATAAAAACAAATCTAAAAACATATACTTTATAAAGAAATCTCTTAAAATATATGTCTTCTTCAAAAAATGTATACATAAGCAAACATACATGTTGGATGTGTACTGATTGATATTTTAGTCTTAGATACATGATTTGTTTCCTTATTTGTTATTGGCTTTGAACTAGCTCTCCGTAACTACGAGTACTCTCAGATCTATACTTAGTGTCTCAGTTTTGTTTTTAGAATCTTTAAGTACCTGGCCACGTCCACTCTGTGTTTTTGTTAGATATATTTCTATTTGTATCCATCTGATGAGTTTAGCCTTTTTCAACTGATTTTTACAATTTGTTCTTATGTTGTACTGTTACACCACTGTCCCAGGTTAGGGGGAGGGTTGAGCGCTCACAAACTTGTTTAACCCCGCCACATTCTTTATGTGCCTGTCCCAAGTCAGGAGCCTGTAGTGGTTGTCGTTGGTTCATGTCTGTCATATTTGTTTTTCGTAAATTGTTTTGTTATAAATTAGGCCGTTAGCTTTCTCAATTGAATTGTTTCATATTTTTCATATCGGGGCCTTTTATAGCCGACCATCCGGTATGGGTCTTTCTCATTGTTGAAGGCCGTACGGTTGCCTATAATTGCTTACATCCACTTCATTTGAACTTAGATGGATAGTTGTCTCATTGGCAACCATACCACATCTCCTTATTTTTATATACATATTAAAATTGATATTCTAGTTAAAAAATATAATAAAAATATTCCATAAGCTTTGAAATTAAAAGTGAGACTATAATAAGAAGTCTCTAAAAAAAAAGAAAAATTAATACACAAGCAAAAAATATTAAAATTGATATTCCTATGATATTGATATTCGGCTTCCTCCACCATAATAACAGACTTTTCCCGGTGTCCTAGCACTCCCTTTGTGTTGGGGTGGGGATTGTCCTTGTAAATATTGTTGTAAATACGTTAGTGTCACATCTCTATTAAACCCGATAGGGAGTATACACGGATTCCACTGTACACTCGCAGCTCTCGAGGGGTGCTCCAAATAACGGAGGGATCTACGTACATACATACATTTGGATGAAAAGTTAAAAAAAATTGCGAATTTTCACCTTTAAACAACAGTATCAAGGTAAGCCGAGACATTTGCGCATTAAAATGAAGCATCCAGTATAACCCTCCCCTAACCTGGGACAGTATGTATAACGGCAAAACTTAAGAATAAACTATAAAAATCAGTTGAAAGGGGCTTATCTCATCAGATCGATACAAAACAGGGGAAAAAAATCTAATAAAACCACAGACCGGACGTGGCAGGGCATTTATACATCCCTTACAACAAAAAAGTCGCAAAATACAGATTTGAGAAAGGTTGGTTCCCTCCGTAAAACATTTAGTTGGCCTTCGGAATATACAAATATTAATGATATCAATCAGTACACATCCAACGTATAATGGATTTAGTGTAAAGACGTCATTAACAGTCAGAGAAAAACATGACCTCGTGCAATGTCAAAATATAGGTATCGACAGATTGTAGAACCGTACGCGTTGATTATATATCACATTGGTGGTCAGTGCTCGACTGAAAACAGATATTTGTACTCAGTTCATCCAACTTCTAGTTTTTTGTACGCAGTGTCGTTTTTCTCTATTCTTTATTTATTTTGTCCATTATTCTCTATTCTTTATATTTCAGCACCCCATCATTCACTATTCTTAATTTGTTTTTGCCTATTTTTCTCTTTTCTTTATTTTTTTAGTCATTTATTTTGTCATTTTGTTCATTGATATCTATTCTGTAAACCCCATCCAGACCCTCACTTATACATCCTTGGCTTTCAAATGTTTAGGTTGGAACGTTCCCGATGAAAAGAGCTTTAGAGGCACGAAAATAGGATGATATTTTCATAAACTATTCAGTAATTTCAACTAATAAAAAGAAATGTATTTCTGAAGGTGCGATGACATATGTACAGATTAACATCAACGTTTGGCATATCCAGGTCCTTTCAAACATACTGTAAGTTGAGGACAGTGATGTGACTATTAATCGTGTTTTTAGTCAAGCGCACACTGGAAATAGATAATGTATACACACACACAAAAATCTTCCAAGCACCCCTTTTTCCTTTTAATCCCTCTCTTGAAAATTAAATATCATAATGTTCATCTAACTTTTTTTCTATATATATTTAAAAAAAATAAAAAGATGTGGTATGATTGCCAATGAGAAAACTCTCCACCAGAGACCAAATGACATAGAAGGTTACAAGTATAGGTCACCGTATGGCCTTCAACAATGAGCAAAACCGCATAGTCACCTATAAAACGCCCCGAAATTACAAATGTAAAACAATGACTATTTTGTATTTGTGTACGTGTCTTCTCCATATCTTTGTATTGCAAAAGGTGAAGGTACATTTAATTAGGAAAATCCTACAGGCTAATGATACAAATTTGTACCTTTATAAAAGAATCTGCAACAATGCTATCTTATTAACAAATTTTATTAAATGCACATGTATAAATAAATAAATTAAAATATAAAAAGATAACAAATTGTACTCTTCTGTCACAGCATATGCTTTGAATGTGGCACAAGTTGGATGAGTATTATTTATACGAAATGAGACATACGTTTTAACAGATCCTTTCTTAGCATACACTTATTGACCAATGGTCGCCACAAAACAGGATATAAAATGTTTTAGTAATATTAGTCAACAGATTCACTCAAATCTACATATACACTTCACGTTTCATTCATATTCTTAGAACCTAGTATTGGCAGTGAAAACGCGCATTCTGACATAATGGCAAGTTTGATTGAAAGACAATGGTAACCAATGTTATATCTAACTCTAACATTAATTTAGATTTGTTCTTTATCCATAATTTACCCTGATTCCGTCGTTAGTACGTTTGCTGACGTTTACATTGATTCAGGTCCGTCAGCACCGATTGGAGGACTTGTCATTAAAATGGAGTTTTCTTTTTCGCGACCAACAGCGCATGTACAAGTAACGGGTAGATGATGAGTATATGGCTCGTACTTCCACACGCCTTTTTCGCAAACTCCCGTGTTTCTTAACATTTTCATAGGTAATGTTACAGGTTCGCATACATTGAAATCGCTTTGTCCTGATTTCTCTAGACAGCCTTGACAACGACAGCGTACTTCTGTTATCATTTTGGGATAGCGTTTCGTATCCTCTTCCATGACGTAATAGTACGGACAAGTGGATCTGTGATATAGTGAGGCGCTTATTGTTTTCAGTAATTCTAACGAATTACTCGGGCAAGTTGTTTCACCAAATGTTAACTTCCCATTTACGAGTTCTTGTTTGAGATTGGAAACTTCATAAGGTATACGCTCCAAGACGTTATTTCCGTTTTCAGCTTGCAATTTTTGCCACATCCCATCAAGGTTAGCTGGATCTTGACATGGCAGTGGTGTTGAAACGACCAGAGCAGCATAAGACAATATAGCGACAGAGACATACAGAAGCTGCAAAGAAAATAAAGTCGAATGTTTATTTGTCTAAATATGTCTTCATTTTCTCGATTTTTGTAATAGCCATTGTCGTACGTAAATAAACTTTTCATTTAATTTGTACAGATATGAACAAAAGGAAATATGGGTATACATCATTGGGACTGCAAGCCATGTCGATCTTAACATTACATTTAATTCTAATGATGAATAATCTTTATCAAATAAACTTTTTTTTTCTTTTTTATCGCACTTTTTTAAATTCAATAAATAGAAATTGATCGAAAATATCAAAAGGTGGAAAGATTCAAGTATATATAATGGAATCCAATCTTAAAATAATGATAATTTAATTTTATTGTATCGCTGAAGCTGTGAAACATAAACTCTCATAAGTTCTAATACATGTTATCAATGCTCCAAGAGAACCCATAGTAATGGACTTTGATAATATATGTCAATTTCATAAAGTCATATTAAACTTACCATAATGCTAGAAGTTGTTGGGAGTTAATGTTCAATTGGTGTTGTTACTTGTTGAGAGATGATGATTTTAATTCAAATTTCGAAATTCTTGACTTTTTATAGAAAAGTTTAGGACTTTTGATTTGAATTTGGAGCGGATATAATAATTGGTCCACGTCATATCGGGGTAAAATTATCTTCCGTTAACTTAACATGTATTGATTGTCACCTAATTCGTGTATTTAATTCAAATCTTTATGAATTCGTTTATCCGAGCATTTAAAAGGTTTACTAGGAAGTCTACCGCTAGTGGACCGTCCGTAACTACCGCATCAAAATTAAATACTTGTAGGTGGTTTCCTATAGGTAACAATGATTATGTAAATGTTTAATGGACATACATCATATAAACAAACAATTGTCGGTATTATATACAGGAACAGCTAATTAGGAATATAAATCTTTAAATAGTACACTGGGCTAAGAAGTAATTAATTATAGTGTGTACAAGGAAATAACGTCTTATAATACAGGTGTATATATATACCTGCAAGCTTGCTCTCTTACAATATAGTATAGTATTGCATACATTACTTTTTTTGTTTGGATTTCTCAATGAATTTATTTATTTATTTGTGTTACTTCCTTAAGCGAAAAGAAAGATATATATGTATATATATAAATAAGAAGATGTGGTATAATTGCCGATGAGACAACTCTACACCAGAGACCAAATGACATAGAAGTTAATAACTATAGGTCACCACATATATGAGGTTTTGTGTACTTTAGATTGATACTGTAATTGTGGTTTGCCCGTAATTAATTTACATAACTTAGTACCTCGAGCTTTTCATTTCGTATTGTTTTTGAATTTGATTGAAAAGTAATGATACACTAATCTAAAGAGTCAGTAATATATAAATATTTTTAAGGAAATTTTTTAAATCTAGCTGTACATTGATATTTATTATTATTAATTTTCAATATATATATATATTTATTTTTTTTAATCCCGTCTCTCATAACTCTTTTTAGAATGGCATTAATATTTTATATTGTTTTATGTATTCGTGTATTATGTTATGTATTGTAATATTAATGGTGAGACGTAAATAAACTATTTGTATCTTGTATCTTGATATACTTTTAAATATTGGTAAATTTAGTTGCTTATATCAACGTCATTTGGACTCTGATGAATAGTTGTCTCATTTACAATCATACCACATCGCCTTATTTTTTATATTGTGTAATAAATGTTAATAGCATAACCAATTTTATCAATGGAATTGTGTTGTCTCATTTGCAATCATACCACATCGCCTTATTTTTATATTGTGTAATAAATGTTAATTACATAAGCAATTTTATCAATGGAATTGCGTAAGTCATAACCAGCAAGAACGGGGTCATTAAAATGTCACAGTAGGTGCTTGTGTTGCTAAATGTTAAGTTTTATGAGTAGTCTTATTTTGTCTTTCCTTTTTTTTCTCCTTTTGTTTCGACTTATGGTTTTACATTACCTTAATAGATTCTATGATATATATTTAACGATATTTTAATTGTGAATTTCCCTTTTCTGACAACAAATTTACTTTACTTTCTCTTCGTATTACATTTACATTTGCCGTCCGATTTCAAGAGCTTGAATTGCAGTGCTGACGACATGTGATTTTGGAATTAACATCAGGTATTCTCGAGACCAATATTTTTCGGAAGCCAAATACACTACACTTGAAGAACAAGACATCCAAAGAGTGACTAAATTTAACAGTCAGAATTGAGAACTTTGTCTGGGAGATTTGGCCCTTTATTTTGTTAATAAGTTTAAACCAAATTACATTTTACTTAAAATTTGAAATATGAGAACTTCACTGAAGAAACGGGTACTAGGCCGATGGTACTTTCTGAATCTGACTGTCTAACAACAGCAGCACCGTTCTATTGCATTGCAGCTTTATTATGTTACACTGAGTTATCTAATCGGAATCATTATAACCTTTTTCAGTGGCGCGTTGCTAGTGGACTCCCTAGTCCATGGAAGATACCACACGTCCAGTAACCGTTGGCGGTCCTAGTGGACTCCCTAGTCCATGGAAGATACCACACGTCCAGTAACCGTTGGCACTGCTAGTGGACTCCCCAGTCCATAGAAGATACCACACGTCCAGTAACCGTTGGCGCTGCTAGTGGACTCCCCAGTCCATGAAAGATACCACACGTCCAGTAACCGTTGGCGCTGCTAGTGGACTCCCTAGTCCATGGAAGATACCACAGGTCCAGCCAGTCCATGGAAGATACCACACGTCCAGTAACCGTTGGCGCTGCTAGTGGGCTCCCCAGTCCATGGAAGATACCACACGACCAGTAACCGTTGGCGCTGCTAGTGGACTCCCCAGTCCATGGAAGATACCACACGTCCAGTAACCGTTGGCGCTGCTAGTGGGCTCCCCAGTCCATGGAAGATACCACACGTCCAGTAACCGTTGGCGCTGCTAGTGGAATCCCCAGTCCATGGAAGATACCACACGTCCAGTAACCGTTGGCGCTGCTAGTGGACTCCCCAGTCCATAGAAGATACCACACGTCCAGTAACCGTTGGTGCTGCTAGTGGACTCCCCAGTCCATGGAAGATACTACACGTCCAGTAACCGTTGGCGCTGGTAGTGGACTCCCCAGTCCATGGAAGATACCACACGTCCAGCCAGTCCATGGAAGATACCACACGTCCAGTAACCGTTGGCGCTGCTAGTGGACTCCCCAGTCCATGGAAGATACCACACGTCCAGTAACCGTTGTTGTGATACCATGGAAGATACCACACGTCCAATAACCGTTGGCGCTGCTAGTGAACTCCCCAGTCCATGGAAGATACCACACGTCCAGTAACCGTTGTTGTGATACCATGGAAGATACCACACGTCCAGTAACCGTTGGCGCTGCTAGTGGACACCCCAGTCCATGGAAGATACCACACGTCCAGTAACCGTTGGCGCTGCTAGTGGACTCCCCAGTCCATGGAAGACACCACACGTCCAGTAACCGTTGGCGCTGCTAGTGGAATCCCCAGTCCATGAAAGATACCACACGTCCAGTAACCGTTGGCGCTGCTAGTGGACTCCCTAGTCCATGGAAGATACCACAGGTCCAGCCAGTCCATGGAAGATACCACACGTCCAGTAACCGTCGGCGCTGCTAGTGGGCTCCCCAGTCCATGGAAGATACCACACGTCCAGTAACCGTTGGCGCTGCTAGTGGACTCCCCAGTCCATGGAAGATACCACACGTCCAGTAACCGTTGGCGCTGCTAGTGGGCTCCCCAGTCCATGGAAGATACCACACGTCCAGTAACCGTTGGCGCTGCTAGTGGACTCCCCAGTCCATGGAAGATACCACACGTCCAGTAAACGTTGGCGCTGCTAGTGGACTCCCCAGTCCATAGAAGATACCACACGTCCAGTAACCGTTGGCGCTGCTAGTGGACTCCCCAGTCCATAGAAGATACCACACGTCCAGTAACCGTTGGCGCTGCTAGTGGACTCCCCAGTCCATGGAAGATACCACACGTCCAGTAACCGTTGGCGCTGCTAGTGGACTCCCCAGTCCATGGAAGATACCACACGTCCAGTAACCGTTGTTGTGATACCATGGAAGATACCACACGTCCAATAACCGTTGGCGCTGCTAGTGAACTCCCCAGTCCATGGAAGATACCACACGTCCAGTAACCGTTGTTGTGATACCATGGAAGATACCACACGTCCAATAACCGTTGGCGCTGCTAGTGGACTCCCCAGTCCATGGAAGATACCACACGTCCAGTAACCGTTGGCGCTGCTAGTGGACTCCCCAGTCCATGGAAGACACCACACGTCCAGTAACCGTTGGCGCTGCTAGTGGACTCCCCAGTCCATGGAAGATACCACACGTCCAGTAACCGTTGGCGCTGCTAGTGGACTCCCCAGTCCATAGAAGATACCACACGTACAGTAACCGTTGGCGCTGCTAGTGGACTCCCCAGTCCATGGAAGATACTACACGTACAGTAACCGTTGGCGCTGCTAGTGGACTCCCCAGTCCATGGAAGATACCACACGTCCAGTAACCGTTGGCGCTGCTAGTGGACTCCCCAGTCCATGGAAGATACTACACGTCCAGTAACCGTTGTTGTGATACTTGCAATATTAAAACAAAATATACTTAATGTGAAATTTTAGCTTTTAAACGACCAAATTGTAACTCTTGACTCTGACTCTTATAGAACTTTAACTTTTGTTCTTAATCTTTAAGATACTTATTTTGACTTTGTTTTCCGATAATTTTAATCTCAGCTGTTTCAGAAACTATTCAGCAAAATATCACAAGTTGTTGACCATTGTGCAGTGGTACTCTCCCAAATGACTTATTCATTGTTGCAAAGTATTTGATGTATTACTTGGTATTACTGGCTTGCCTTAGCAGACATCATATATATACATACCCTTCCGTGTATATATTTGATGTATTACTTGGTATTACTGGCTTGCCTTAGCAGACATCATATATACCTACCCTTCCGGATATCTTATATGCAGTTGATATTTTGAAATTCCAGTGTTTCCTGATGTATTTAGTCGACAATCTTAAAGAGTTCGTCATAGAATTTCATAATTGTTATATGCATTTTGAGATTTCGAAATTTTCATTATGGCACAGTGCATTAAAGACTTTTTTACTCAGCGCATATCCTCTTGGTGTGTTTTATTTAGTTATTTATTGGTGTTTATTAAATATATATTAAGAAAAAAGTATTTTCTCCAGGTAACAATAGCTTCCAAAAGACTTAATGTTTTGTCAATGACATTATTTATATGTTACTTTGTTTAAATGTGTATATAATAATACGAGTATAATTGCCAATGAGACAACTCTCCACCAGAGCCGAAATGACATAGAAGTTAATAGCTATAGGTCACCGTACCACCGTAAGGGCTTCAACTATGAGCAAAGCCCATGCCGCATAGTCAGCTATAAAAGGCCCCGAAATGACAAATGTAAAACAATTCAAACGAGAAAACTAACGGCCTGATTTATGTACA